TTTGCTTTTGATATTTAAATAAATTTTTCTAATGCCTTAGGTTTTATTTATTCATTTTAAATAAACTATCAGAATAATTGCTCAGCTATTTACTGTGTTTCTCTATATTGTAAAAGTGAATATAATGGATTTCTTTCTATAGTGCTTATAGCCAAAATTATTAATTTTGTGAATTTTATATTTTATTAGTTATATTTAATTATATATTAATATTTAGTGTAAATTTAATTTATGTTTAGCTATGTAACTGTAATGTTTATTTATTATTGACCAATAATTATGCATTCTGTTTATATTATATTATTAAGTTTATTATTGGCCAAAGGGAGAAGAAATAAATATTATGAATCAAAAAGTACCTAAAATAAAATTCAAATATTTATATACTATACAGATATTTACATGAAATTGAGCTCAAGATGAAGCCCATTTTAAAAACAATTAAAAGACAATGATTTAGAGATTGATGTCAACATTGCAGAAGAGATAATACGAAAAATTTGGAGTTAAGAAAAAAATAGACCCAAATCTTTAAAAACAATATTGAAATTAATTTTTTAAATTACAAAAATAAAGAAAAAGAGTTATAATTACAATAAAGATCCCAAATCACAACCAGATATTCCTTTCACATCTCTCTGGAGATGTATAAAGAAGTATGCACATTTGTCCCCTAAACTTTAGTTTAAAAGATTCTAAATTGCCACACAGCACAGAATCCTGCCTCAGTGTGTAAGCTTATCTAAATACCTCTTTTAAAAACAAATGTTTCCCACCAGAGCAACTAATTAAAGGCTTTCAGGGCTGTGACATGTGCCAATGAAGTTACTACTTTATATTGAAACCATGAATCACATATATGGCTAATGAAAGAGAGAAGTATGTAGTATTAATGAGAGTTTTGCCATTTACTGATTATAATTACAGTGTAAGTATTATTAAAATTATGATTTTTTCTGTTCTTTCAGTATACACCTTATCTATAGAATTAATTTTCTCCAATTATTCCCAACCTCCATAAACTTTTCTTGATTGTTTTATCATAGCAGTACATAAACATTTTTTATATTGTTTTGCTCTAGATATTCTTAAAGCAGGAAAATCATATCTATGTGCCTTTGGTTGTCAAATTAGATAATACTTGAGAACAGAGGCTACTCTTTTTCTCCCTATTTTCAATCATAAAGGTGTAGACCATGTGTCCAAACTGGCAAGCAACAAATTGATTGACTTGTTGCACTGAGTTTCATTGATGAGAGCTCTTCAGTCATATCCAAGTACTAAATAATATCAAGTGCTCTTGTCAGGTACATGTCACACATTGTATAAAAAGCCAGGATTTGCAAACCATTGTGTTAGGAACTAGGGAGTGGTACATTAAGATTAATACTAAAATGCTGTTTCTGCCTTCAAGGGGAGTTTCATTGAAAGAGCACAAGGGGTGAGTAAGGCATATGGACTGAATAAAAAAGTGGTAAGCAGGCAGTTTAACTTTCCAAAAGAAACATCAGTGGTGACCTGTGTAAACTGCTACCTCCCATGATATTAAAAGAAAATATTGTAATGTATTTGGAATTATGACTTTAGGTTTGAATTGACTTCATACAAAATTCAAGTATAGGGAAAAAGTTATTATCTTTCTCTTAGTATCACATTATGATAGAGAAGATACTGAAAATTTCTTAAAGGGTGAGTTATTTATTCATTAGTTCATTAGTGCATTTGCTCATCGAATTATCCATCCATTCATTATAACAGAACTTATACATATGTATATTATATATTTACACATATGTAAATAGAAAATTTTGGAAATATATACAGTAAAAATGTGTGTTAGCCTTGAACTTTTGGATAAAAGTATGGTTGATATTTTTAAAATTTCTTCAAATTTTTGGAGCATATATTACTACTATAATTTTTTTTCTATTTAAATGTTTTAACTGAAGTATAAGAGAAAAATACAATAATCATTAGATGTATAGGTTATTCGATTTTTATGACTGGAATATATAAAAGTACTCAAAACCAAAATAAAAATCAGACATTATCAATAACCCAGAAGCAATCTTCTCCAAAGTTGTTGTCATTCACCACTCAGCAATTATTTTATTAATGTTTTAATATCAGGGACTGAGGTTGTGGCTCAGCGGTAGAGTGTTTGCCTAGCATGTTTGAGGTCCTGGGTTTGATCTTCAGCATCAAATAAAACTAAATAAAATAAAGGTATTGTGTTCAACTACGTCCAAAAAATAAATAAAAGAACATGTTATAATATCAGTCATGGTTAGAGGTCTTATGTGAACACATGGGTATAATATTAACATACAAATCACTAAATTCCCTTTGTGGTTATTCTCATACATATGAAGTATTCAAATTCCAAATATTTAATTATTTGTAGGTGCACTTTGTAAGCTTAAAATATATTGTGAAATGCAAATTCTATTAATTATTATTTTAAAATATTTAACCTAAGCAAAGACCATAATTGTCTGTGGCTTATGATTTGTTTATTTATGTACTTACTTCCTCTCTCTTTTTCTTCCATTTCCTCTTTTTTTTTAATTAAGTAACATATATTTCACAAAATCCCACATAATCTAACTGTTGGTGCAGCTCACAGACTCTAATAGAATGTGAGTCAAATCTCCTCATATGATGTGTTTTTCCCTATTTAAAACCCAGTGACTGGATTTGGCCATTTTTGTCCAAGTCACTGACTGGCTTGGAAGGATATAGTTTAGTTTGGATGCTCTTTATTAAAGAATCTGTGCTTGTCAGCTTTTCAAACTGGTCAAGTCAGAGACCAAATCCTCATGAGACTGTGCACACATGCGAATGATATTTGTAAAGGCTCTCAGAGTTAATGAATGTGAAATCCAACAACCTCACAGCTGGGGAACCAGCCTTCAGAATGGAATAGATTTCAGTTGTAACACAGTAATCACTTCTCCGGGTTTCTCCCAATCCCTCCAAAAGCAGAGTCTTTTCAAAAGTGGAAGGCAGCCATACATTATTTGAAATCATGATTTTCAAACTTTAGATTAATAAAGGACAACTAAAGATAATTATGACAATTTTTAAAATATATTAAATGATAACATGATAAATTAGAAAAAAGTCAATTGTGGGACTACTTAAGATACTGATCAATAGCTAAATTTCCTTCTCTAATAAAAGTTGGTTCCAATAGACAAGTTGGATATGGATATATATTTTGTGCCAAAAAAGAGAGCCTCTATAGGATGGAAGAAGCTTTAAAATGAAGTATCACATATACTAATATGAAAGATCACTTTCCTACTATTAAAAAAAGATTGGCATAGGAAATTATTTTAATGTTACCATTGTTATATGGAATGGATAGATAGGTTCATATATACCTAGTATGTGTGTATATATTTATTTTCTTTTTAATTGAAGGGAGGAAGAGAGAAATGGAGGAAGGCAGGCTATCACAAGTAAAATATAGTTAATTACTTTGCTCACTGGGTGAGAATTTTATATTTGCAGAGACATAACTAATAATGGCAGACCAATATTTCTATTAAAACAAGAAGAAATTGGATAAATTATTCCAGTCCTATCGCACAGACAGCTTTAGAAGGAATGAGCATGAGCTGAACTAATATTTCAGAGAATGGAGAATCTTGTGTTCCAGTAATTTCCGAGTAACCAACGGTTCCCAGTACCCAGGGACATTTGCTGATTCCGTGGGCATGCTAATAATTGAGCTTTCCTAACAGAAAGTGCCTATGGGGGCAAAGTAAGCTAAAGTAACAATTTTAGTGGTTGTATCAGTCTAGAATGACAACTTGGAATTGTGAGGCTGTTATCCAAGGGCGTGTGCTGGCTCTGGACCACAGGGTTGGAACTAGCCTTCTAAAGAGGCAGAGTGCAACTTGAACAATTTTAGGGGGCCAATCTTGTGGAGGTCAAGGGAAGGATAGCCTGAATCTCACTGCCTGTCTCCTTCTTAAGACAAATCTAAACTCAAGCACAAAGTGTAAAATCCTTAAAATGCATTGAACAGAGCAAAATTATTAGACGTGTTGGAATAGTGTAACATATACTTAATTTAAGTGTCAGAAAAAAAGAGAAAGAATAAGACAATAGATAATATGAAAGAGTTAATAGCCAAAATGTTTCAAAACTGTTGAAAGGTATCAATCTACATATGCAAAAAGCTTAATAAATCCAGAGTTGGCTAAATAAAAAGATAACTACATCTAGATATTGAGTAAACAAATTTCTGAAAACCCAAACCAGAGGAAAATCTTAAAAGCAATCAGAAAAGAGAAAAAAAAAACTATACTATCATCAAAGGAACAAAACTGCTAACTTTTCAAATAAATGTTGGAAATCAGAAGACAATATAATGAACTCTTTAGTTGCTGAAAGAAAATAATTACTAAATTAGAATTCTGTACACTGTCAAGAGAACTTCCAAAAATGAAAATGAAGTAAAGCACTTCAGACAGACACAAATTAAGAGAATATATATCATCATCCAGCCTGAATCAAAGGAATTAACTAAGAAGATTCTTTTTTTTTTTTCAGGCAGACAGGACAAAAGTTAAATACATGGAAAAGCAGGGAAGAATAAAAAACAAAATGAAGTAAATATGTTGGTAAACACAAATGAATATTGACTCTATGAAACAATTACTGTTGTGACTAAATTATGTGTAGAATTACAATGCCTGATGGCTGTAAGGACAAGTGAATGCAGGGGAAAGCAGTTTAAAGGTTCTAAGAGAAAGAATAAGACAATAGGTAATATGAAAGAGTTAATAGCCAAGAGGTTTAGCAGTATTGAGGAACTGGAATCCTCCTTTGCTATTATCCCTGTGATTCTTCTAAACTTTTACTGTTTTCTTTACTTCACACATGCCAATAGATGAACTTGCTCTATTTATAATATATATTCTGTCTTTTTCATCTTGGCATTTACTGTAAAATTGTAGACTATGACAAGAGTATTTGTTTTTCTTTAGGGATGGAATACAGATGAGATGCATTCTTTATAGTGAAGTGATTGATGATGTGTCCTTGTATTGTAAACTCAGGGTAAGTACTGTTTCTTTATGTATTGTGCTAAAGCCAGAAATGACCCCAATGATGTTGATTTTCTTGATGTGGTCTCTAGACTTTGCACTTTTTGTTTGTTTTCCTTACCTATGTATTACACAAACCTTGATGGCTGTTGATATAGTCTTTCACATGTTCTCAGTGTTTGACTTGAAGATTTTACTCTATAGCTTCTGAAACTTGAAAGTGGTTCATATATAATAACTCTGCACAGATGGTTTCGAGTAATGGTAATGTTTAGATTGTCTTTATCCCCCAAAGAACTTCTCAGACTTTTCTGATAATGGCTTGTGAAATTTTATGGCTGCTCAAAAGTAATATGATTATTTTTTTAGAGAACTAAAAAGCAGATCCAAACCAAAAGATTTGATGTTTCCCCTATGCATGGAAAGAAATCAGTTTACAAACACTTAACAGAGCTTATAACAGCAATGGGTCATACGGAGATCAAAATACTACTCTTTTCTGCATTTTACTGTGCTTCCCCTGTCAGTCTTTCCTCTTGCACTTTTTTTTAACCTTTTATTTTTTTTTAATTTTTATGTGATGCTGAGGATCGAACCCAGTGCCTTGCACCTGCTAGGTGAGCGCTCTGTCACTGAGCCATAACCCCAGCCCCCCTCTTGCACTTTTAATAGAAGTGAATTTAGTCTTGACATTTAAACATAATTACTCCAGTTATCCATTTTACTATATTACATTAAATATCACAGATACAGATTTAGTATAAGTTTTATCAAAAAACAATAGTTTGGGTTTTTTTTTCTAAATCAGATGTTTGGATAACTTAGTTTAAATTTTGTTTGTTTGAGTTATCCAAATGAGAATCTTGTCTGCTTTAAAATATTCTGACAATAAATAAAGTGATATTAAATATAATATCAAGTTGGGCACAGTGGTGAATGCCTGTGATTCCAGAGGCGTGGGAGGCTGAGGCAGGAAGATAGCAAATTCAAAGCCAGCCTCATCAAAAGCGAGCTGCTAAGCAACTCAGTAAGACCCTATCTCTAAATAAAACACAGCATAGGGCTGGGGATGTGGCTCACTGGTCGAGTGTCCCTGAGCTCAATCCCTGGTACCCAGCACCCCGCAAAAAAAAAAATCAAGCATGTAAATGAAGAAAGAAAAGAATATCACACATCTAAAAATTTTAAAAGAGCATTTATGATCAGAGGAAATTATTTGGGGAAAATTATTTTATGAATTTAATTTTAATAATTATTCATTTCTCTTCATTTCCTTCCAGTAATAATAAACTACTGTCAATGTGTTTACCATTTTTCTATGCATGCAAATTACACTCTAGGAGGAAGCGTTCATTTGTTGCTGTTTATAAAATAATGAAATCTCATGGTAGTGACAGTTGAGATTTCTGCATCGTGGATGTGACCAATATGACAGGACTGTTTTGAGAAGAATCAGGCGTTAGGTCCACAGTTCATTTCTCTCTGCTCTGAGCCTGGTTTAAGAAAAGGGTGAGAACTGAGTAGGTGATATGAGCATGGGTGAGATGCAGGAGAGTTTCGCTATCTTAAAGGGAGAGGGACACAGCACGGGTTTGAGCAAAAAAATGAAGTGGCCTCAAGGGGAGCAGAGGATTACAATAAATTTATCCAGACATTTCATAAGTAGGAAAACAGGAGAAATAAAAATTAGTTAGTTTCATTTCCAAAATTGTAGCTGTAGAATTATATTGTGTGCGAGTCTCTTCAAGTTTTCCTTTAGCAAGATGGTGTGTCCTCTCAGAAACTAACCTTTCCGTAAACATATAAATTGAAAATAATTCAGAAAATGACAAGTTCTATAAATTTGAGAACTATAAACCAATCAAAAGATTAACCGAATGAGAGATGGATGATAGTCTTCTTTTCCCTTTCCCCTACATGGCAATCTGAGTTTGAAGAATGAAGTCTGTTTATTTGTGGTGGATAGATGGTTCTGTTATCTGTTATTTATTTGAAGAGAGAACAGTAGATGTTATAATTAGAAAATGTGAGTAGGAAAACACTTTGCCTAGCAGAGAGGAATAGAATGCAACCTTTTAAAGCTTAATTCATTTTGAAAATACCTGTATAAGACTGTGCCAAAAATTTTTTGTTGTTATTTTGCTGTCTTCTTTGATAAGCAAAGCCTTCAGACTTTTTCCTTGTAGTTTTAATACTCAGATTAAAAAATTTACATCAAAACTTGCAGTGTTTATTTCACTTGGATGAGCAGACCATATGGAGTAACAGTTTTCTTCAAAAAATGTGCAGCTTATTTTGAAGAAAATATGGTTATCATTAATGTTACTTTTTATTTTTCTCCAATCTTCTATCTGGTTCAAGTACTGAATTTAAAATTTTTGTTTGGTAAGTGTATTGCAAATGTGCCAAAATCTGACATCTGCAATTCTTAGTATATGCTATGTTAATAAAAACAAAGTGTTCTTTTAATTAGGTATGATTTCAGACCCATAATCAAAATAATGAAATTTTTTTCCTTTTGCTCCCCAGGAATGGACATTCACTCTAACAAGTAGTTCTCAAATAGGTTGGTATAGTAGGACTTATATTTACTTGGAGAATTTCCACAATTTCGGCATCCTTCCTTTCTCTCTCCAATAGGCTTCCTTCCAGATATTTTTCTATCTTTTATGTTCAGAAGGATTTCTAGGTGTTAACTTATGCTCCATGAAGTATCCTTTCATGTGGGGACCTTCTAATTTCACTCTCACAGGAAAATCAGTGCATTTTATTATATGATGCATTAAATGAGTGCTATTATTGGCAAATGTATTTGGTGGAATCATAATTTAAAATACACTGATGAGTTAAGGAAAACATTCTGGAGTAGATAACATTTGAGTTGAGTATTGAAGGGTGGCTAGATGTTAAGTTGATGTGAAAAGAGATTTTTATATAGAAGAGTGTGTATTTAAGAGTGTGGTTTGAGTTTGGGGATTATTGCAGAGATAATTCTAAGCAAATATGGTTTCTGAGCACATGCAGAAAAATGAAGTAGAATATATTGAATATACTATTATACTTTAGGAAGATGGAGCATTATGAGTAAATTGGGGACAAGATATTGTGAATGCAGAACTGATTATGAAGAACATTTTGGCTTTTATCTTGAAAGCTACATGAAAACTTTAAGCTTTGAACAGAGATGACCATACTTGTGATTTTAAGATTTGCTGATAATGGGGAAGAAAGGCTACTGGTAGGACAAGGCTAATATAATAATCCAGATGATAAATTATGGTAGGAAAAATTGAGGTATATAATGAAGAAATGGGAACAAAGTATTGTATCCATATTTATATAAAGTAGATATACAGGGGATTTTAATAAGATCTTTGAGATAAACTTTGAATCTTTCACAAAATTTTGATCAACAAATTGTAATATGAAGTATGTTGCTTCATGTAATACTTATAATTTATATCGATTCCTCATTATTGAATCATTCCATATCCTCATTATTGAATTTAGTCACATCTTAATTCTCTTACTTTTTCTTTACTTGTCAATCTGCTCTTGTCTTCTATTCTCAATATCATCTTCACCATGGCCCACAGTGACATCTGTATTGGACGAGTCAGTGAATGTGGTTCTACAAGAATCTTGTTCAGCACATGTGAGCACTCTGTTCTTGACGCATTTGCATCCCTTGAAACTATGACCTTGATTTGTTTCCCATTTCTCTTGCTGCTGTTTCTTCCTCCTTCTTCCTCCTCCCTTAGCTAATCTCCACAACTGGAGTTCTTCAGGCTGCATATTTCTTCTTCCTTTTCTCTAACTATCTAATGTACTTTTGTCATTTTAAAATATATTCCTGGGGCAGTACATGCATAAATCAAAGTTTCTATTCTAGTCAGAGTCTCTTTAAATTCTAAATTCCTAGGTCCAAAAATGTAATTTATATCTACACTTTGATGGTTGTAGAGATCCCAAGATTTTATAAGGGCAATGGTTCCATTCTTAAGGAATCTCCCTCATGACCTAAGCATCTCCCCAGAGCTCCACCTCCTACCATCAAACCATTAGTATTAGGTTTCAACATATGAATTTCTGAGGGGGCACAAACCGATGAGAAAAATAAATTGATAAAAAGTGATTTTTAAACATCACCTAGGCGTAGAAAAGGATACTTAGGTAAAAAATGACTAAATGAGGCTTTGATGATTTTTCATAATTAATGCATATCTTTATATATTTCTTATATTTCTAGGAGTGATTTGTGTTCTAAGAGATTGTTTTGCTTTACAAAATATATAAATAAAAAATTAGAATAAAAGTTCTCATAACTCTCATTGAGTGATCCTACTTGGACTAAGAAAATGTGTTTAGAAAAAAAATATATAGGAAGATTCAAGAGACATGACATAAAGACACAGAAAGAACAACATCCGTAATGACAGATGGGAGGCAGTTGTAGGAACCTCTAACACATTTCATCTCTCATTTTGAGTGGAACTAGGAACTGCTACTACTCCATTGTGTATCTAGGAACTTAATTTTACCTAACCATGAATATTGAAATAATATCACACTATTGAGCTCTCATCTTGTTCATTCAAACTGACTATCTCCGTGAAGCATGGGTTTTCCTGATTATTCTCCTATGTTAGTTACTGTGCTTCTTCTCTGCTGAAGGCAGCAGAGGAGTCCTCAATACATTATAATTTGTTGTGCATAATGATTGCTGTTTTGTGGGAGGGATCTGAGTCTTGATAGAAAGTATATGCAATCTTATCACCACAGTCTCCTGCCCACAGTGACTGGTCCAAAGGGTGAATATTTAACTCACAGACAACCAATTGACCTCCCACATTGGTAATGAAATATAAAGCCTTCCTTTCTTCTTGGGTTTCTGGAATAAGATTATCCGTAGCCATGTTCCACACTATGGAAATACATAGAAACAATAACAATAGCCTCTCCCCAAAAAACAAAAACAAAAAATTTTCAAAATATAAAACCAAAGCAATTAGA